GTTCTCTCACTTCCCTTCGCTTGTTCTCTCTCTCCCTCTCATGCACACACACACACACACACACACACACACGCAGAGGTCCGCCTTTGCTTGTTTATTTTTTTCAATTGGTTTTCGTGTTTCCACCCCTTCCGTGTTTTTGAACATTTCGAGAAGAGGGTTCTCCCTCCCGCGCTCTTTCTCCTGTGTGCGTGCGTGCAAGTTGTTTGCGTGTGCTGGCGCCTTCTTCCTGCGTCGTGGGTATTTGCGCACACACAAAAACAAAACAAAAAAAAGACAGCAGGAAGGCCTTGAAAGGAGGAGCGCAGGTGTGTGCATGCACGGGTGAGTGCAGCTATGGCACTGCCGAGCTGCCAACCGCTGTGCCCTGTTCTGCTTGACATCGGCAGTAGCCGAGCTGTGACCCTGCCGTGCTTCCTCCAGGTGGTGCGGCCGTCGCTGCTCGTGGAGGTGGGTCGCATCCTTTCCCGCCAGCGTGCGCCCCACTTGCCGCTGCGGCATTCACCGGCGGACCTGGCCGCCTCGCTGGAGCCATGGATTCGTCCATGCGGTTTTTCAACAGAGCAGCCGCTGCTGCAGGACGAGAGTTGGAACATGCCGTGGCAGGCGTACCTCAGCGCGCTGCGACAACGAGGCCAGATGACCTCTGCGGCTGCTGCTGCTGATGCTTCCATGAAGCGCCGGGAACCAGATGCGCTGCCGTTGGTTGGCACGCTCGCATTGCCGGTGCCTATTTGCGCCCCAAGCACCACCGCAGATGGGGCAAAGGCGGCGCCGATGATGATGGAGTTTTTCCGCGTGGACGCCTTTATCCCGGTGCACGTGCAGATGTGTCATGTACTGCGTCGCCTGCTGGATCCGCAGCGTCCGTGCGGTGCGGTGGCCGTGGGGGTTGTTGCGCCCGCCCATCGCGCGGATTACTTCATTGATGCGGCCCGCCGCCTGCGTGCGGGGGCTGCTGGCGGCTGCGTGCCGCCGGTTTTGGTGTACGGCCCCGGCGGGCTGCGGTTCCAGTCGCCATGACCACGTCGTCTCCCGGCTGCCGTTGCCATGCCTCGTGGCGAAGGGAAAACGGCGCACACGACAACGCGGCAGGCAAAAAAAAAAAGAAAAAAAGGGGGGGGGAAGAAAGAGGGATAAGCAACAGAGTCAGGCAAGCAACTAGGTGAGGGATGAGAGCGACGGTGTCATGGGCACTTTCCATTACGCTTTCTTCGATCCTGACATGCACACGGCATTTACTAGTGAAGTCGCACACACACACACACACACACACACACACACAGTCAAAGGCGATGCAACCGCCAAAGGCGGATGTCTTTTCCAACTTGGAGAGAAAGCACCCCAGCTACGCCACCGCAATACGCGTCGTGGAGGGCGTGGCACTAAAGGCGCTAAATGCACTCGACCGTCTCTATCCCGTTGCTGATCTCATCTACGAGAAGCTTGTAGAGGCCTCCTTACCGTGGCAGGGGCACGGCTTGAAACACCTTTGGCCGCTGCTTCTTGGTTTTTGCGTCTGTTTCTTTGGTGGCTGCTATACCTTGCTCATCGCCTCGGTGGAGGTGGTGTATCTCACCTCATGGGATACCGTGAAGACGAGCCTGTGTACAATTTACGCAAACTACCGTGCGGCGCGAGAGGCAAGCTTGAAGGACGACGTTTTGGATGAGGATCACAATGGCATTCCGGACGTGCTGGAGATTCCTCGCAATGAACTCTTCTCGCGCAAGCTGGCTGTGTTTCTTCGCTCTGTGGACCCGGTCAGTCTGAAGGAGGCCTTCAGTGCCTTGCTCTTTGCATTTCTCGCGGTCCTTGCAGCTCTGAAGAACAGGTTCGGCAAAGTGCTGGTGTTTGCCTGCGGTCTTGCCAACGCCATGGAAGTCTACTTCCCAATAAAAGACTTTGTTGAGGACGCGTTGCCGCCAGAGCAAAAGAAATTGGCTGGCAGCATCACGTTTGTGGTGTTAAACTTTATTGGCGTGGTAATTGCAACGGCGCTGCAGCGGCACGTGATGACGGTGTATTGCGCTTTGCGTGGTGCGACGATGCTCGTTGTGAGTGCCATCGCCCTGGGAAGGGAAGCGGGCATTGTCGAGGAGGGCGCGAGCATAAGCAGCCAGCGGAGCAAAATCCTCGCCGGCGCACTGGCGCTTATGGGGTTTCTCTGGCAGGCGTCGAACGACTTTTCGGTGCCGTTTCCGTTCAACGTTTTGCTATTTCCAGTTTCTCTGGCCGAGTGGCTGCTCGGCGTCATCTTCGCCGCCTCGGTGATGTCGGGCGCCGTCTGAGGCGCCGGCCGCCCCGCCGCGGCCCACCGTCTCCCCCCAAAGACGGCGCGGGAGACGAGGCCAGGAGCGGCGCCGCACACAACACGCGCGCGTGCGGTTTCGCGTTTGGGGGGCGGATAGGAAGGGACGGCAGGGGGGGAAAGAAAAGAAAAGAAAAAAGGGCGGTGGGTGCCGCGGCGGGCGAAGCCGCGACAAGAAACAATCAATAACACAAAAAAAAAGAAAAAAAAGGGACAACGACGCGCGGAGGCGGGCGCACAAAAAAAAAACAGCAGAGGATGAAGAAACAAAAGCAGAACGAAGGCCTGACACGCTATTTTTCGGAGGGCGGGGAGTCCGTGCGTTCCCGCTCTTTTGTTTTTTGGCTCTTTGTTTTTCTATTTTCCCGCCCCACCCACGGGCCGCGGGGCC